GTAGGTTGACAGTATGAGAAAGATTGGGTCGCATACTTCCCTGGAGTCTGAAATCTGTTAATAAGTTTTTTTTTATTGTTGCCATTTTAGTACGGACTAAAGAAGAAGGAAAAAGAACAACCTGAGGAGGAGCAACAACCGGAGGGAGAGGACGAGGTCCGTAGTTTAACGAGGGAGAAGAAACCTCCCCCGGGCATCGGAGAAGAGGAAGAGGAGGAGGAAGGTTGGTCCTCTGCACTCTGCTGTTGCTTCAATTTCTTGTGACAGTGGAGGTCAAAGTCAAAATTATACTACAGTATCAAGAGGATGTTGTTATCAAAAACAGGCATTAATATTTTCTAAAGGTAGTAAATAATGCTCTAGAGCCATGTGCTAGTTAGATACCCAACTAAAAGACTGTCTCAGTGGTAAAGCTCTGCCAGTCTATCCTCTTCTGGAATTGTATACCATAAATATAAATGCAGTGCACAAGGCAATTGGCATTCCCATTGTAAACAAGATTTATTTTTGTCTTAACTTTTGCTCAAGTCAGAAATTTCTAATAACTAGAATTAACATTATGTTATTATATATTTTGATATGAATTATTCTAATTGTATTTCAAGTATGAATAGAGAGGTTTATACTGCACAGTTAATCATAGAGAGTAAAACTAGTGCCCAGTTTCAAATGTCGTATGGGATTTTCCCTTCAATGGGCGGGGATTGGTTTGGAATTGGTTTGAAGTCTCTGCAGCTTTAGAGAACATTACATGCTGTGTTTCCCTGAACAAGATCTCATTTAGATGGTTACATTCCATTACGTTGGTAAATATAGCCAAAGCTCTCTTGGGATGTATCTTCCACTTCTAGTCCAATGGCACCATGCGGCTAACAAAGGCTCGCACGGCACTGAAGATGCCGGAGGCTTGCCAACTTCATTTCTGTTCCTCATTGTAGGAAATCCTCCCACAGAAACCAGCTATGTTCCCTCCAGTCAAGGCTGGGATATTACATTAAAATCAAGTCTTCCCACAGAAGGCAACTGAATAGAGTTCCACAGTAGCGAGAGAAAGTGCTCCGGTGGGAGTGGAGCCTGAACTTGTAAGATGAGATACGCAGAGTGAATCAAAAGCTGGAGCTGGATTATTGCCCAGGACATAGAATTGATTGCACCTGTCACAAGGCCAATCACTCTCCCCTCTCTGCAGGCTGCTTTGGCATTCAAGTGCACTGCAAATGTTCGGTTGTGGGGCAAGATCGAAAGATGCAAATTATGGGACCTTCAAAGCACTTTGTATGCACTGTTAACTGCTTTAGGAAGTCCACTATATCAACCATAGGAAAGCAAGGGAACAGTTCTGTTAAGTGCCATGACTAATGAAATAGTCAAAGAAAAAAGGGTGCCAGTCAGGAGCAAAAATCTTCTCAGCGGTAAATCATACTTCTAAAGATGTGTATGCCCATGAGGTTTCAGTCAAACCTCTCAAGGGAGCCTTGAATAAATATTCGCCACACTGAATGACAGTTTGCATCAAATATTCTGTAATGGTACTGTTTGTATTGTTTATTTATAACTACCCCATCATACATAATCACTCCTGGAGTTGGGTTTCCAAACAATACAGACAAGTTCACTTTGTTAGCCTGGTATCCAAACCTACCGGTATCATAGCTGGCAAGTCTCTTTTGTTCTTTGGGTAGAGGACAAAACAGACTCGGCAGCTATAATAGGTTTAGCTACCTGGCTAGAATAAGATTATATCTCAAGATATGAAATTCAATATACCTTGAATGGTAGGAGATGGCAATGTTGGAGAAAGTATTTCTTAGAACCAACTTGGTATAAAACAGTCTCCAATGACTGAGAAGAATGAATGCTGAGTATCAATCAAAGTCAAGAAAGCAGAAAGATTGCAAGTATTGGATTTAATGATCTAATCAATCTCCCAGCAAACAGTAGGTCCAGATTGATTTGTCCGACATTCCAGTGAAGTCAAAGAAGCAGTTTCATGCAGCCAAAGTCTGATTTATCCAGGTCTGTGTCATATCCATCCACAACTGCGGAATTTTGAAATGGAGATAAAGATCACTAACGTTATAAGTCAAGCTATTGTTCATAATATCGCAGCATTCCTTCGAGGCAAAATGTGCAAACAAGATAGGCACAACTTTGTACTTATACTTCCAGACAGGTCTGTATGCCATTACAAGCATGTGGTGAATAACTATTAAATTCCGCATGTTTCCGGGATGCTTATTGTCTTGTTTCCACTGTATAAAAGAAAAAAAGTGCCAACAATGCCCTCTGGTTTAATTTAATTTAAGAAAATCGAACCAAACTGTCTATACTGTTGGCACCATGTGAACCACAGAATTAGGTGACTGTCAGTTTTGCAAACATGGGAAACCCCAAGTTGCCCCGTTCAGTGCCTTAATATAAATGAAGATGGCGCCTGCTGCCAGCCTGCAGTCCAGACATAAGATGGATCAGCTCATCAGTTCACTGTAGGAATACATAATAAATAGAGGCATAAATATAAGATGAAGCAAGCTTTGCTTTGAGGCACTTGTGATTGTCTGAAAAATTACAAAATGCAGAATGATTACTTCCCAAGACAGATGTTGACTTCAACTGGCATTGGCCCGTGAGGCTGTCCTTGACATTTGTTTTTGCAAGTCCTTGGCATTCGTTTTTGCAAAATATAAAGCAAAGCTTTGTGTCCCCATTGAACATAAAAATAAACTAATTTACAGAATAGACATAAATTCTTATATGAAAGAACACTGCTACTGTATAATTTACAAATCATATTGAGCATTGGGAAGCGAATGCCTAGGGTTGAAAATTTTTTCATGCAAGTTCTCCTGAATGTCAATAATTTTGTTTTGTAATGTACATGTAGATAGGACAAAAGGAAGGGGTGACAATAAATGACAAAATAGGAAATTCTACAGAATACTTCATTTGAATCAAATTTATGTATACTCTTGCAAACATTGCCTAGATAGAACATCTATAAATCATTGTGCCAAAATAGAAACTTTCATAATTAATTAGTGCATATCTTTAAAATACTAGTATATGTTCTAGCATACAAGAGTATGTGCAATATTTCTTTGTAAACAGGTAAGCAAATATTAACAGGTGTGGTTTTGTACTTTTTGTTTCGTCATTTCCATGATTTTGTACTCTGATGACTTGCAGTTTCTTTAGTCTTGCAGTTTGAATAGTTATCATTAAGAAAGCCGAAAGTACAATTGTACAAATGTCTGTAATATAAATGCAGTGATATGATATACTGGGGGAAGGAACTTGATTTATTCTTTAAGTATCATTTTTAGAAAATTACAAATTTGTTATGATGTGCTCTGAGATTCAATGATAAAGATATAAGATATTGATTGAATGTAAATGATAACTATAAGGTTCCAGTTACTGTTACTGTAGTGAATGTAATTTCTCTAAAGCAGTCTTGACAAAAATGTGTATATAGAACCAAAGTATAGACAGAATCTTTTCAAAACTATCCTTTTTTTGTCTGATTGACTTAAAACAGCTACCCATATTTGTACAATAATAGCCCCTTATAAAAAAAAAATACATCATCTTTAGACAATACACAGATAAATGTCCTCCTTGTATTTCTGTTGTAATGTTATGTGTTATCATTCTGTGTCATGTTATATGTATGGTCACTTCAAGAGAGTCTTCTGTGTGAAAAGGGTCCTGTTTCATCTACTAGTTTAGAGCAAGAACATACTGTAATACATGTTTATGTGTTAGATAATATTCATTCTGTAGTACTTTGGTGGTTTCTGTATATCATTAGGTAATGTTAGCTTGTTAAGAATTAAATTTCAGTTTTACTTGTAAAGGTAAATTGCATACAGGTGCTTCTGCACATTTAAATACAGCAGAACAATAAACATTAAGAAAATCTTTCTTTATCTGCCGCACAAGGTTTTACTTTTTGTTCATTCTTGTGTGCATTTTGTTGTATTTGTGAAATAATAATCTCCAAGCAAATCTTTCGTACCCAAGACAGACTCCAAAGGGCCACTATGGCTATGGACCACTGTGTCCCACTGTCCCAGGCCTATTGGATACTGTTTTAGCTAACCAAAAGATCTGCTTAGAGGTTAGAAATGAATACACTTGCAAAAAAATTGCACACTTATCTGCCTCACCGGTAGCATGTACATCTCTCCTGTGATGTCCAGTTGTCATTAGTTGTTCCTCTCCCAAAGGTACAGTTTTGTTGCTTTTTTTCTTTGTATTTTCTGGATCTTCTTCCTTTTTGTCTCATTTGCCAGCACAATCATGCTTACTTCTGCATGCTTTGTTAGTTTATCATTACAATTTGCTTCCAACCTATTTTTTATTCTTTGCCCAAAAGATCATTATCCTTTTCATGGTAAAGTTAAGGTGAAAATACATAGTTATCTGTCAATGGTAGGTATGTCAGGGCAGTATCTCCATATGTTAATTCATTGCCTGACCTCTTGTTTTTCTCTCTTTCTTTCAGGGCCTCTGGATGAGCTGTGGAAAATGTTCTCCGAGAAGTTTCCAAGCATAGCAGAGAAGTTTAGTAATAAATAGTGGAAAGGGTGGAGAAAAATGGTCTACACATCCATGTATGTGTGTCATTGTCTTTCAAGATGGTTCTTTGGATCTTTTGTTTGGGTTCCTTGACATGGGCAGTCGCTGCTTATCTTAAGGGGGATGGAGAATTTATCATCCATGATCGTAATGAATAACAAGAGACCCTTGATAATATAATGATCATGACAGCGGTGGGATCAACTTACCCAGTGAGAGGTAAACAAAAGTTCCATGGATACATTTTATGAGCTGCTGAAATGCTTGGAGACTCTGGACTGAATATTGTTAAAGATTCTTTACCATGCATGGAAACTGAAGCAAACCAAATGTACAGAGCGGGTTGAGAGAAAAGGGGACCTGGTCTGCTAGCACGAAGCTCTAACATCGTCTAGGGGTCCAGTCTGAGTTATTGATCACATGATTGCTCTGTGAGTAGTCTTCAAACATCTGAAATCAGGATGTACATCTCAGCAACTTGAAAATGAAAATAATCCATACATTGATGTAAATTGGCAATTCAAAACTGTGATGTTTCTCTCATAACACAAAAACCATCAGTGTCTGTCCGTGGTGCTGAAACGTCGGTGCCTACTAAAAAATCCATCCATTTGTGTAATCAGTAACACAAAACAACAGCAAAAGGCCAGGAACCCTGTGATTTTCTAATAAAGATGGATATGGCATGTTGAAGCATTTTCATCTCTTGTTCTTTTGTGAGGATCACAGTGTTGGATCGTCAGGACAGTCACATACAGTCAGTGGTGTAATTGAGTGATCAAAAACACGGAGCTGGTGGACCAGATCTGCCTATTGGTCTGAGCTTTTTCTCCAACCCATACAGAAGGTAGTCAGTCTGTCCAACGTAACTATGGATATCTAGTAGGCATAGACAACATCTTAGTTTCCATGAATGTGACTAAGGATCCTATGTGTATAGAGAGTGTACCATTTCACCAGCCCACAACTCGATGTATCAGAAATACCTGTGAGCTTGTCCATGTGCAGTGAGGAGGGGGTCTCTACTGACACACTGCAAACAAGATGGCGTCACCAGCTGCTGGATTCATGTCCTGCCTCCTGTCATATTCTGCAGAAACAAGGAAAGAAAAAGAAACTTTAACACATTTAAAGAGGATGAAGAGAATGAAGAAGTGGCTGGGGCCCATGTTCGTGTGTCACTTTTGACCCCTGTGTCCTGATAACATTGTGTGGTCCTCAAAAGTCAGGTCTGAGAGTACTTGTATTTAGGATATAGAACATTAGTAACAAGTCATACTCACAACTAGACATGGGTGTTATACTGTCTCTCATAGTTCAAGCATTGGAACAGTGAGTGTCAGGTGATGTCAATTATACTGTAGTGATGCTCAATGTGTGGAAATCATCAGAATTCTGTATTCATGGTGTTCTCTGTCTCTGTGTGTGTGCTCTTGTACATAACATTTCCCAGCACGTTATGTTGTCCAGTGTGTGACCATGCATGGGCCTGTCAGAATCCATGGTGGGAATGGATGGCTTTTCAGCATTTTGATGGAATAAGGATAAATTCAAGTCTTTTTTTGGAAAAAGCAGATGACATTGTTTGGATGATGCAGATTTTAAACTTTTAAAATTTTGAAAACCTAATCAAATGATGCAATTTATAAAAGCGACATATCTTGGCAATAATAATATCTGACAGGATATGTGAGATCTATAGCAATCACCCAGTTTATGCCATGTATAAGATCACTTTGTGAATATCTGAATTCATACACCCTCACCACCCATGAATACAGACAGGTCTACTTGTCAAGAGATGTGGCATGGTTTCTACTCAAGACCTAATTGTTATGATGCTGCTAGTAACAAAAATTGTTTTTTACTACATTTACACTGTATGTTTTGAGTGCACATCTTAATCCATCATTCCCTGTCGCTGATAACAGCTTACTGTCAAAATTGCTCCTGTATTCCATAATCTTAAGTCTCCTTATGCTGATTCCAGTTGAATATCACTTCCTGGGAAGACGAATCTCCCAAGGTGCTTCACGCACATCATAGTTGATGCAGGCCTAATGCTATCCTATTGACAGGCACAATCCCATGCCATCGCAATGAAAAATGCTGGCTGAGAGCAAAATCCTCATTATTGCCAAACCCATTTTGAAAACGATTTAACTTTCCGATACTGAAGCTTTATTAGTGCTTCATCACCTGTGAAGAAGTCCCATGTTACGTGGGCAGCATGTTTCTTGTGCTAAGATAAGTGTGGTATTAACAGTGAACCAACCCTTACCGTAATTCACACCCATTTTACGACTACTTAAAGACTACATTGTAGAGCCCCCAGGGAATGGCTAATTTCAACACAACACATCAGTTGGCCCATTATCCCTTGTTGTAGATTCCACATAACGTTATAACTGTTTCATAAAACAGTGAAATTTATGTGCAACCTGACACATTAAGTATTCACTAGTACCAGTAGCTACATGTAAGAAAGTAACAGATTTGTATGCGGCAAACAGTGCTTTCCACAAAAAACTTTTGCCTATCATAAGTTACATCCCCACACCCTTCTTTTAATTCTTATGAATCTTGTAATGAACAGTAAGATGGCCATAGGTTGTCTACAACAGTCCTTATTCAGCACAGGCACACTGACCACCCACACCCTGCATTATTAAACCCCCCTCTGAACATCGATGATTGCTTTGCACTGATGTTTGGAGTCACACAAGGCGTGCTCCTGCTCTGTTTGAAGATGGTGACATTTGACCCCTGGACACCCAGCCCTGGTTGTCCTGCACAGAAGGTCATGTTCTCTACTGACCCAGGGTCCATCCTGCATCCATCATTCATAGTCGGCCTTGTTAAGCTGACTGGGAATCAATAATAGAGACCAGTCTGCATCCCAATGACTTCGTAACAATCACGGACCATCATCTTCAGTCTAAATCAACTGGAATCAGCACATCAGTAAACTCTATGTGTCTCTCCTTCCAAGATTATAATCTCTAGTCACAATCATACGTATGATTTCAGTGCGACTTGAAAGTCATCAAATTCATCTGGATTTTTAAAGATCTTCAGTGTCACCAATTTTCACCTGTCTTGAAAATTGGTGAAGTTGTATCTTGAATGTGTATCAAACTGAGTAGATTGCATTGTAGGAATTTTGTTGTGTGTACATAATTATGTGATGTTTGTGTGTAAGGCTATAGTAGTGGAGCACCCTGTGACTGTATGGTGAAATAGGCAACTGCAGCATGTTTTTCCATGGTAAGGCCATGCAGAATTCATTCCTTGGTTCTTGTCTCCTACCGAATCCATACATCACCACCTAACAGCCTGCTACTGCTAGCACTGTACTGTCTTCAACTCCATCCAGCTAACACCTGTAATGTTGACTGTGGATTGTGATATTCCATGTTTTGGCCAAGATGTTGAGCTAGGCTTTACAATGCTAGTGGGACTGGGGAGTTTTTGTACTTACTGAAAATGGTGCTTGTGTGCTTCATGAAGTTTTTAGCATCATCCTGAAAAGCGAGTACATGTATGTGTGAGAGAATGAGTGGGTGTCTGTGTGTGTGTGTGTGTGTGTTTGTGTGTGTGTGTGTGTACAAATGTACATGTAACATCACTAACCCATCGTCCCCCATTTCAATGGTAGAGCTGTCTCCATGGAGACTCAAATCAACAGCCCTCGTG